TCTCAGTGAAGTTTTTACTCAACCCATAACCAGATTTCACTCAGCTCATAAGTATATGTTGACTTGCACAGGAGAATAGCATGTTTGCCTGTTTGCTAATACAATATATTGTGTGAGAAAGTAAAAATGGACGCAGCCGCAATTTAATGCATTAACGACCAATGGGAACTCTAAGGAAAGTTTTGAATCACATTCATCTTTGCTAAACTCCTGCTTCTATTTTACATTTTCTGCATTTCTTTTCTCTTCTTCCGGATAACGAAGATTTACATAAAAACAGGCTTCTTGTTTATTGAGGGTCCATCTGCTCCTGGAGGATTTTCCCAATGGTTGATGTAGAGTTGATTACGATGCAGCAAATAGAAGATGATGACTTCAACAGGGAAAGGAGCTGTAGGAGCTCTCTTTTGGGGAGAAGGCTCTTGCTTTCATATAGTCAAGAACAAGGGAAGAGCCCTACATTACATATAAGTAGAATTGCTTCTCATTATCACACCTTCAAAAAGTTTTCCGTGAGGCAGCTCTTCAGAATCAGGAAATCCTGATTTCTAGTGACAAGGGGTTAAGATAGATTACTCTTGTCAGCCCTGTAATAAGACGTGAGACTAATGTACACGTAATGCACTGTGAGAGAAATAACAAGGATTTAGGAACAGTTTCCACTAGCATGTTAAAAGGAGTGTGAAAATGTTTTTGACTCACTTATTAGAAGATCTCACTCATTTAAGAAAAAATGAAATTAAGCCTCATGTATCTATAGTATCTAAAAATGTCCATGTGGATGAGTGTTTAGACGTAATATGCTGTACATTAATATTCTAATTGCACTTTCATTTCTTCTTTGTTTAATGAAACAAATAAACATAATATTACTAAATTCTATTCTCAGAATGCTTAGGAAGCTTACACATTAGTAAAACCACCTCCATTTGTTTTCCCCAGCAGAGAGGCTATGAATATTATTATGGACTTCCACACAGAAAGCACAGTTAACAGGTAGCACTGGCATTACACAACACTGTATTGTAGATTGGAGAAATGTCATGTAAGTGCTTGTCAATGTACCTACAATAACATGTACAGTTCTGTCCACCTCAGAACCAAAACACCATTGGAACAAAACCAAGGGAAGTGGTGGATTCTGCATCTGTTCAAGTCTTCAAATCAAGACAGGATCCCTTTCTGGAAGATAAGCTTTAGTGAGACATAGGTTACTGAGCTCAATACAGGGATAACTGGATGAAATTCTCTGCCCTGTGCTAGACAGGAAGTCAGACTAGATGATCCAATGGTCTCTTTTGGCCTTAAAAATCTATGAATCTATGAAAAAGAAGTCAATTTCTGAAATGTAACTGTTTCCATTAGCCTCTGAGGGCAGACCAATAAACAGGCCCTATATCTTGTCCAAGTAAACCTGTTGAGTTAGTAATATTTACACAGCAAGCTATTCCTGGACTGAAATACAAGGTGTTCTTTCACAGATTTATTTGGACGAAATGGAGGATCTACTTATTGATCTGCCCTCAACGGCTAATGGAAATGGTTAGGTTTCAGACGATTCTTAGAAAGGATGCTTCTCAACTGATGGGCCAGTCTTTGCTTGTAGTGACATTTTATAGCAATTCTTCATCTTTGACTCTCGATATAGTGGGACTCTCTTAGACTTGTATCTATTGACTAGTCAAGCTGAGCATACCCAGTTATTTTAATCTTTCCTAGTAAATCAATATTTTCAGCCTTCTGTCATCATTGCTATTCCCCTCTGAACTCCTTTCTTCATCCTGATGTCTTTTTGGCACTGAGGTGGGCAGATCTGTGACTATCAGGCCAGTGTTTCACGGAGAATGTAGGGAAATGCTGAATTATCCTTTTATGACAAACATCGGAAATATTTGTTTAGGACAAGACAAGACTCGCAAATGAAGAAAACTATGCCCATTCCTCACAGTTAAAAGGTCTTTGGCATCACAGCTTAGTGTGGAATATGGATGCATAAAAAGCTGAGAGGAAACGGCTGAACTGCTAAATAACTGTATAGCCAAGTAACATCACAGGAAAACGAAGGTGTCTTTTGATACGCTGCTATAGTTTAGGAAGTGTCCTATTTTAAAGAGTTTGTTCCATTTTCCCTGACATTCTTTCTTATCTTTTCTCACTTGCTATCCACCTTACTGCACTGCAGTATTATTGTCCATGCTGCACAAAAGCAGTGAAAGCACTGTGAAGAATTACAGTATTCTGAAAAACCCCTGACAGTGAAACATTTTTAACTTCTTGCCCCCCCTACCCAGAGATGGAGGCTCAGTTTCTCGGCACCAAAAGACTCCTTGGGAAGACAGACTTCCCTGTGCAAAGCACTGATATAGTCCTACAAGCATAGCAGCACTTCAGATGGACTTCCTTTCTGATTAATCCCATGAAGGGCATCTCTTACTTTCAGTTGCTTGGTCTTCTCTCGGAGGGTGTGTCGGTAGAGCTGCAACTGTTCTGCCGCTTCGGGCCCAGGCTGCCGGGCCAAGATGTGCTTCAGCTCTACATACAGCTTTTCCTTTTCCTAAGAGACAAGATAAGCAGAACAACAACAGTTCATAAGTGCTCTTATTTGCCGCCACAGTAGCAACAGGACAACCTGTATTTATATCAACGCAGCTGAAAGATGCAAGTAAATCTAGCAGCTATTTGCAGAAACAAATCTGCCTGTGTGTCAGTCTCTGCCTTGCTAGCCATAAGGTATTTAAAGTTGTTGTGATAGCAGTGGGATAGCTCATTAAGAGAAACACCCAGCTAGTTCATACCAAGAATTAAATATTCTTAAACACTGTCATCAGCAAACCTGCTTTGGCACAGAGAGTATAAAACAGAGTCACCAGAAATGTAGTCAAGGAGAAAATTACTTACCAGTAATTGTGTTTATTGTGGTCCCCTTCTCCCACCCCCATCACATTACATTAAGGGATATAGCTCCACCCACCTGGAAGTAAGGAGTCAACAAAACCGTCAATCACGGCCTATATAAAAGAACCAGCCCACCCACTTTCTTCTCCAAATAGAATCCTGCAGAGCAAATAAATATATAAGAAAACCAAACAACACACACCACTAACTGAGAGAGCCCCCAAGGGGATGTGGGAGGAAAGGAAAATTAGGGATGACTATGACAAACACAATTACCAGTGAACAATTTTTCCTTGTCATATGTCTCCTCTTCCCACACATTACAACAGAACCTATGCGGTACATGGATGTAACAAGCCATAAGTTCCCAGAGGAGCTCCATGGCCACTTGTGGCTTTCAATGCTGAAACGCTGCTTCCAAATATGGTTTAAGGTCTAATTTATTTTACCTGAGTTAATACATGTATTAGGTGAAGTCCATATCATGGTTTTGCACATTTCAAGGTGGCTAATGCTTCACCACTCTCAGTGATGGGGCCACCTGTCCAGGTTTTCCCAAGATCATCCCTATTTTGAAGAGGCTGTCCTGGGAAATTTGTAAGTGTGCTCAGTACACGCTACCAGCTGTTCAGTTTTATGGGCATGGGATCATCCTGGATGTCCTGTTTTCTGGTACCTCAGAGATGGCAACCCGACCACTCAGACTGAGATAATTATTATTATTTAATATAATCATCCTCCTAGAAAAAAGACATAGCAGGCATCTAAGTTTGTTAGATAATGAGAAAGAATGATCCCCCTTCTGTATGCTGTGAGTGTAGAAATGTTCTTTTACCAGTGTTGCCACTTCTCTCAATACTTGGTGTTTTTCTGGGTGCCCTGCTCCTGCAATAAGGTGATTACGAGACTTTCAGCTATTATTTAAAAAACAAGTTTCTAGCCCTTGTGGTTGAAGAGAAAAGATGGAAAATGCGTACATCTAAAAGGCTCAAAAACAAAACGCAAATAAAAAACTTTTTAAAAAAAATATCATTTTTAAGCCAATCTCGTGATGATTTTGGGGGGCCTGACTCACAATTTTAACACTTGAGGTTAGCAATACTGCTTATCAAATGAAGGCTGGGAACTGGGGCTATCAATTAATTGCAATTAACTCACGCCATTAAATAAAAAAAAATAATCGCGATTAATCGTAGTTTTAATCGCACTGTTAAACAATAGACTCCCAATTGAAATGTATTAAATATTTTTGGATGTTTTTCTACATTTTCAAATATATTAACTTAAATGACAACACAGAATACAAAGTGTACAGTGCTCACTTTATATTATTATTTTTATTACAAATATTTGCACTGTAAAAATGATAAAAGAAATAGTATTTTTCAATTCACCTCATACAAGTATTGTAGTGCAGTCTCTTTATCGTGAAAGTGCAACTTACAAATGTAGATTTTTTTTGGTTACATAACTGCACTCAAAACCAAAACCGTGTAAAACTTCAGAGCCTAAAAGTCCACTCAGTCCTACTTCTTATTCAGCCAACCGCTAAGACAAACAAGTTTGTTTACATTTGCAGAAGATAATGCTGCCCGCTTCTTATTTACAATGTCATCTGAAAGTGAGAACAGGCGTTCGCATGGGACTTTTGTAACCGGCATTGCAAGGTATTTACGTGCCAGATATGCTAAATATTTGTATGCCCCTTCATGCTTTGGCCACCATTCCAGAGGACATACTTCCATGCTGATGGCTCCCATTAAAAATATAATGCATTAATTAATTTTGTGACTGAACTCCTTGGGAGAGAATTGTATGCCTCCTGCTCTGTTTTACCCGCATTCTGCCATATATTTCATGTTACAGCAGTCTCGGATAATGACCCAGCACATCTTGTTCATTTTAAGAACACTTTCACTGCAGATTTGACAAAACACAAAGAAGATACCAATGTGAGATTTCTAGGGATAGATACAGCACTCGACCCAAAGTTTAAGAATCTGAACTGCCTTCCAAAATCTGAGAGGGACGAGGTGTAGAGCATGCTTTCAAATGTCTTAAAAGAGCAACACTCCGATGTGGAAACTACAGAACCCAAACCACCAAAAAAGAAAAACAACCTTCTGCTGGTGGCATCTGACTCAGATAATGAAAATGAACATGCGTCGGTCTGCACTGTTTTGGATTGTTATACAGCAGAACCCGTCATCAGCATGGACGCATATCTTCTGGAATGGTGGTTGAAGCATGAAGGGACATATGAATCTTTAGCTCATCTGGCACGTAAATATCTTGCGACGCCGGCTATGACAGTGCCATGCGAATGCCTGTTCTCACTTTCAGGTGACATTGTAAACAAGAAGCGGGCAGCATTATCTCCTGCAAATGTAAACAAACTTGTTTGTCTGAGCAACTGGCTGAACAAGAAGTAGGACTGAGTGGCCTTGTAGGCTCTAAAGTTTTACATTGCATTCAAAAATAAAACAGGGGTTTTTGTACATAATTCTACATTTGTAAGTTCAACTTTCATGATAAAGCGATTGCACTACAGTACTTGTAATGGGGGAATTGAAAAATACTATTTCTTTTGTTTTTTTACAGTGCAAATATTTGTAATAAAAAATAAATATAAAGTGAGCACTGTACATTTTGTATTCTGTGTTGTAATTGAAATCAATATATTTGAAAATGTAGAAAACATCCCAAAACATTTAAATAAATGGTATTCTATTATTGTTTAACAGCGCAATTAATCGCACGATTAATTTTTTTAATTGTGTGATTAATCACGATTAATTTTTTTAATCACTTGACAGCCCTACTTGGAACCCTTGAAGTGCCTTTGGAAAGAAATGAAGGACAGAGGAAAGACAAGCAGTGACAAAATGCCATATTGATTGGCCCATCGGTAATGTCAGAGCCAGTTAAGGTGTCATGTGGGGAAGGTGATCCAGGAAGTGAATGTCAGGACCAAGACATTCATCTTGGACATAGCTAAGATCCTGTTAGACACAGGACAAGAAAGAGTGTCAGTGTCTTCATAATGCTTCTCCCACATGGCCACGTTCCCCCAAAAAGCAGAAATGCACAAAGAAGCAGGAATTGTCCCAAAAAGGTCCATCAAAGCCAACCATCTTGTTTTACTTCAGACTGGTTGTGACACATTGGGTCAAAGAAACTCCCTTGGGACTGCCACCTGATGTGCCTAGACTACCTATGAGCCTGTTTTCCCTGCCAGCTTGGGACTTCAGTGCCTTGCCTTGTTTGAGCCAGACACACTTGCCTGCTGCTAACACAGATCCAAGTCTGAACCACGTCCCCCACAAGCTGCAGGCTTAACTGAAAACAGCTTAAGAAGTGCTCCTGTCTCCAGCACTCAGATACTCAACTCCCAATGGGGTCCAAACCCCAAATAAATCCGTTTTACCCTATATAAAGCTTATACAGGGTAAACTCATAAATTGTTCGCCCTCTATAACACTGATAGAGAGATATGCACAGCTGTTTGCCCCCCCCCCGGTATTAATACATACTCTGGGTTAATTAATAAGTAAAAAGTGATTTTATTGAATACAAAAAGTAGGATTTAAGTGGTTCCAAGTAATAACAGACAGAACAAAGTGAATTACCAAGCAAAATAAAATAAAATACGCAAGTCTAAGCCTAATACAGTAAGAAAACTGAATACAGGTAAATCTCACCCTCAGCGATGTTTCAATAGGCTTTTTTCACAGACTGGATGCCTTCCTAGTCTGGGCCCAATCCTTTCCCCTGGTACAGTCCTTGTTCCAGCTCAAGTGGTAGCTAGGGGATTTCTCATGACTGCAGCCCCCTTTGTTCTATTCCACCCCCTTATATATCTTTTGCACAAGGCAGGAATCCTTTGTCCCTCTCTGGGTTCCCACAGCTCCTTCTAAATGGAAAAGGTTAAAGATGGATTCCAGTTCAGGTGACATGATCACATGTCACTGTAAGACTTCATTACCCATTTGCCAGCACACACTTATACAGGAACACTTTCAAGTAAACAGAGCCATCTACAGTCAATTGTGCTAGTTGATGGGAGCCATCAAGATTCCAAACCCACCATTAATGGCCCACACTTTCCATAATTACAATAGGACATCAGAGTTATATTTCATATTTCTAGTTTCAGATACAAGAGTGGTACATTCATACAAATAGGATGACCACGCTTAGTAGATTATAAGCTTTGTAATGATACCTTACAAGAGACCTTTTGCATGAAACATATTCCAGTTACCTTATATTCACACTCATTAGCATATTTTCATAAAATCATATAGAGTGCAACGTCACACTGGTATCTTCTACACCCAGTGACATAGTTATGAGGGATTTCCATTCCTGTGGTAAAGGAGGGACCTCTGTCTGGCTCATAATCTGTGTGTGCGCGTGTCCAGATCTACCCCTTCCTCCAAGGTTTCCTGTTCTTCCTCAACTCTAAAGTGCTTAGGGAAGAACTCAGTAGGAGTATGGATTTTCTGGTTAGAAGGTCAATTGTACTGGAGAAAGTTGGCAGAAGGAAGTAGGGATCTTCTTTAGCAGTTGTTGAGGAAGACAAGGACCAATGAAAGTTAGGGTAGGGCCAATGAATGATGCAATCCTGACACAAAGAGCAAAGGAGAAGAGAGCATG